GTGACGGCTGCTGTCCAGGTAACCATCGGGCGCTCAAACTGTAAACGGCCTGATTGGTTTGATGACAACAGAGAGACTATTGATACATTTGTTATCGGTGAAGAATGTGGCATTAGCTGCACATGTGGATGAATCTGCCGATTCCAAAAAGAATAGTCTGTTATGCAAACTTCGACGGCGATTGACTCGAGAGCTCCGTCACATCAGGAACACTTGGTGGACGGAGCAGATGGAATGCTACACAGAACGCCGCCAATTTAAGGAATACTTTGACATGCTGAAGACCACTTTGTAGTCGCCGTGGACGTTAGTCGAGGCTATTTCCTGTGTTGCGTGCACGCAGACTGCAGAATCAATGCAGATGTAGCGAACGCACTTCGAATGTCTCTTGAACAACCGTCCTGTGATGGATTAGATGACGTCGCCCGGGCTGTAACAACAAGAGATGAAGATGTATCTTGCTGACACACCGAGGCTGGACGAGTCATCTCAAGCACCTTCTAAGCTGCGAAACGGCAAGTGTGCTGATACCGACGGGATCCCGCTTGAAGTATTGAAACACGGCGGACCCTTGTTGGTGAATGCGCTGCACCAGTTGGTGCAACACGTATGGTTTGAAGAAGCAGTTCCATCTGAGTTGAAGTATGCCCTTGTGCTGCCACTGTACATGCTCAAAGGGAGCAAGCAATGTGTAACGAGTTATCGTGGCAGTAACTTGCTGAGTTAAGTGGGCAAGGCAATTGTCCGAATGCTACTCAACCGCCTCATCACGCATGTTTCTGAACTGCACGTGGCGAAAGAGCAATGGGGATTCCGTTCGGGCCGCAACACCATCGATATGGTGTTTAGGGCTCGTCAGTTTCAAGAGAAATGCAAACGGCAACAACAGCTGTTGTACTTGCTTTTGGTTGATTTCACCAAAGCATTTGATAAGGTGAACCGCAAGACATTGTGGTTGGTCTTGGGCGAGCTTAGTTGTCCTAGTAAGGTTGTATGTTTACTTGAATGTCCACAGTGGTATGTGGGCGAGGGTGTAGCTGAGTGGACAGACCTCGGATGATCGCAGTTGTCTCTGGCGTGAAGCAAAGTTGTGTCTTAGTAACTGCCCTGTTTAACATATACCAAAATGCAGTGATGTGCTTTTGATGCTGCTTATGCTTACCGTGTCCGTGTGGATCACCGTATTGATGGCGGATTGCTGAACATCCGTTATTTCGGAGCGATAAACCTAGCATGTGAGAAAAATATCCGTATGCTGCTGTTTGTCGACGACTGCGCGTTGTTTGTACACAGTGCGGATGAATTATAGCGCATGGCGAGGGCTGTCGCTTCGAAAAAGACTAAGTTCGGCCTCCCATCAACATAAGCAAAACCATCCATTTCAATCTTCTCCGGAAAGAGAACGCGTGGACCTTCCGCAAATCCACCTTGGTAGCGGAGTGCTGGAAACCACCCGCAGATTTTGCTACCTGAGTAGCGTACCTTTAACCTACCTGCACATGACGGGCGCGCTGCATATTCGCCTATCGAAGGCTGCTGCTCCATTTGGCAAGTTGGAAAACCGTATCTGGTACAACCATTAGCTAATGGTTGGGATGAAGCTGATGGTGTATCAGTCGATGGTACTACCAGTTTTTTACGGAAACAAAAGCGCTGTACCCGAAGGACGTCAGATATCTGGAGCGCCTTCTCTAAAAGTGCCTGCGTTGAATTCTACATATCACTTGGTGGGACAGAGTTGTAGACATGGGGATGTTCTGCTGCAGTGGCAATTATGCAGGGGACTACACTATTCTGCTACGACAGTTCCGGTAGCATGGGAATGTCAGCCGCATGGATTGGTCGAGGGAGCCGAAGCAGCTGCCGCATTGCCAACTAACAGCAGGGAAGCGGAATGTGAGGAAACGGAAGCTAGCTTACCAGGACCTGATCAAGGTTGATTTATCATGAACCAATGTTGACTTGGGGTGTTGAGAGGTGATGGTAGTAAATCGTGATCAATGGCGTGACTACATCAAGGATGCGGTTGCGCAGGTGCGCGAGAGAGTATTGTAGCACAAGGAAGTGAAACACCGGCTACGGAAGAGACAAGGGCCGATGGAGTCTAGCCCATCGACGTCTAGTGCCTGATGCTGTAGCACATGCAGTCAAGAGGGCCACAGCCAAGCTTGTCTGGTAACGCCCCAGAAGGGGCACGTGGGGCCGATATCATAGAAGCAATGATGCAGATGATTAGGTAATCGTGAGCAGCGCATGGCTTGGTAAGTACACCGCTTCCGATCCAATTTACTAACCCAGGCCAGTAATGCGGTAGAAGTGGCACCTGTGCTACATCATCGCTACATTTGGTCCGTACGTGTGCCTTCATGTTGAGTATCTTGCATTTCAGATGTTTGGCTGTTGTTTGATATCCCCGGTGTGGTTGCGCTTGTTGTGAATGTTGACAAGGTGCTTAGCAATCGAAAAATCGCTACGTCGATTATATTGGCTTGGTTAGTCGTTGCTTAGGGAGACGAGGTGGATGATCCTCGTGACAGCGATAGGCCTAAATGGTGGCTCCATCCAGTGTGGAGCTGGTTACTGCCCAGCCACGGTATAGTGTACGCTTGATATTAATGGGTCCCCAATTACATAGACAGGAACGTTACTGCTGTGCATGTTGAAGGAGTGTGAGCCGGCCCCTTTGATGACACGTGGCTGCCATCCACATGACTTCTGTCCTATTCCCTCGGGTTTAAACTGTATTTGGGATGGGTGGAATGAGCTGCGAGTGGTGAAATGCGTCACCCATGGTCCCTCTGTAGACAAAGGCACGCTGTGACTATCCTATGGAGGCCACAGGGATAGGCAAATCCGGAATCTAGACAATAACAAGCCCCGGTTACTGAGCCAGATTTTCCTAACCAAGCTAGTTAAGCAACTCAGACATAATCGCACGTAGTCTCAAACTCAAATGTGTCGGTTATAGTAGAGTGACTTTTCCGTCAATTATTCGTGTTATCCTAGAAATAGTACAACGAAGGTCAACGGAAAAATGCGAAAGGAGTGCAACGCCCATACAAAGATTAAAAAATGTTAAAGATTTCCCGAAGTTAAACACGCTGAATTCGAAGAACCAAGAGAAAGATCTTGCTTGGCCGCATGAGCATTCATGGTTGCTAATTCATTCGAACTCACATGATTGTAGAGACGATGGGGCATGCTCATTGAGTGTACTCGTGAACCTGTCCATCAGTGTTTACTAGCCCCACCGATCAGAGGTAAATTCACACTGTTTTGCTGCATTTGCGGTTTGATTCAGGCCCAGAATGTTAAGGACCACAAGCCTGCCTTGTAATCCGAAGGCGCGGGTTCAAGCCTGCGCAGGGATCGTGTGACCTTCGAAGATCCTTATCCACGTGCTACTGATGATGGTTGTGCGACAGCAAAATGTCTGCACTCCGTGCCGGCGCACTGCTGGCGCCTTTTTATAGGTGAACTGCCATGCCGATGAAGATGGTGAGGTCTCCTAAGTTGAATGTACTTCCGCGATGCCCATTGGATCTATGGAACTGTCGCGGAATAGTGGAAAATTCATTGCAGCCCAGGAAATCTTCCGGAAAACTGAAAAAATTACTCCACATCACAATCATTCTAAAATCTCCTTGAAATCATCATTTATTTGATTGCTTCCAAGTCTATTCCAAAAGTCCGAATATCCCTTTTTGTATTTTCAGCGGCCACACAGCCATGATGGATGTAATTTGAGTAGCCAAACGGAATGAGCGGAGTGAAGCACAGTGAGGATTCAGACAGTGAATATGACTCAAACCACTGGATTCACCAAGCTCAGCCATCCATTCACACCGCCCCTTATACGCTGCACTTATAGCAGTTCGCTGGCACTCTTCCATGGCTGAATTAAGGGTAGGAAATTTGGAACAACAGCGTCGCTGTTTACGGCTGAAATCAAGTGACATACCGGAGCAATGTGAGTGCTAAATGCGTTACTTGCTTTGTTTATGCACATTTACTGAATGAACTACTTGGCCTTGAAGGACTGTATTTGTGACAGTGGCCCTAAGATGGCCTAATGTCCTAAGCCGTTGCCAGGTAAGAGGAGGGTTGTGGGATAGAATCCATCGGCTTCTCAGAGGATGGTGAGCTACCAACGAGTTCCAGTAGCACACCACGGTCAGCTAACTCCTTCCGGAAATCTGGAGATTGTTCTGAATAAAGTTATTCGACAGTAAGGTTTGTAAGAGCCATTAAAGCATTACAATATCTTATAATGAGTGTACTATATTCTTTGTCTTTGCACTTTGGAATATCTCCGGAGGGAACACCATTTGGCGAATAAGCGTGCTCGCCGTCTTGTTAATGGTGCAGAAAGAACAAGCAATCTGCTCAGCACTATTCTTTTGAGCACCAGGCTTCGATTGTCGGGCCAAGTGTCACGCATGCTAGCGCATCGATTCCATGAGGTGCATTGTTTGCGCGATCGAGGTGGGGATAGAAAAAGAGGGGAGGAAGCAGCGTGCTACCTTGGTCAAGATAATCAAAGGCTCGAACTTCGAACTTGGGTTCGGCTGGTGTCTTCAGACTCCAGGGTTGGGTCTGAAAGATGATGAACACGTTTGGTTAGAGACATTGCGTGGTCAAGCGATGACTACGATGGCGTTTGCGTTATGAGCTTCGTCCACCCCCCTCCCACTTTAACTCATCCAGCCACAATCAAATTGTGGATGCATAACAAAGACGATGAACAATATTAATTGTATTCGTTTTCGTGTTGCACCTTTTTTAAAACTATCGCCGAGGTATTTCTTACTTTTAGCTAAACTGTAGTATGCATAAGCATGTGTATTTTATACGCTTTGTTGCACAAGTATTCGATTGGCTCGAAAATGCTATCACTGGTTCGATCGATTGGACTGATTACAGCACCACCATGCAGCAAAAAAGTAGTACTTCAAGTTCTTAATGAAATCCGGAACCTTTACGCCATGAAGTGACCTTACCACTTGTTTTCTTCTTCTGGTAAACCGAAACTGTAGCTTCATGCGCAAGGTGCCTAGATTGTATAACTCTCTGGGCTTGCTGTCGCGCCTTTATGCGTTTTTCCTCCTGCATCTGCAGGATCTTTTCTGAACATCTCTTGCTTTCTTTTCGAGCTAATTCCACCATGCTTCTTCGAACGGCCTGGGTTTTGTAAATGGCTTCTAGGGCAGCTTCGTGGCTAAGCATGCTAGTCAGCCTCCGTTCAGCCTCCGAAAGCTGCTGCTCCCGTGATTTCGCGTTATTCTGCTCCGATTTCCATTGCTCATAGCGGAAATTATCAAGGGCTCCTGCTTCCAATTCGGCCAATCTAGGGAGTGGAATAACAACAAATGATAATGGTAAGTTGCAAACAATTAATAGTTTGATCATCAAATTTAATGAAAAGCGCGGCTCCAATCTGTTGAGACAGTTTTCTGCTCCCAAAGTTTCATTAGTACCTCGTGTAAATCGTCCGCAAGAACAGAGCCGCCGAATTTGAAGAGGGCTGGGGGAATTCTATCTGCCTCTGCGGCCTTATGCAATTGCAACATTCTGATCTCACCTCCGACTTCTGCGCGTGAGGACGGATCTAAGAAGGCTGCCCATGGAGAAGGGTACGCAATGTCCGAAAGCGAAAACGATAACTCAGATTGGTTAAACTGCCTTGCAAAATGTTCGGTCCAAAGCTCCAAGCGTTTAGACAGGTTGCGGATCGGCTGTCCACTCTCGTCGCGCATCGTCCCGTTGACACTACGTATCCTGCCGCCTATTTCCCCTATCAGACGGAATAACTTTTGATGATTACCAACGGCAGCGGCTGTTTCCATTCTCGATGCTTGATGAAACTATCAGGCTTCGCGGTCTCTCTTCAGCCATGCACGCAGCTTCGCCCTGAGAATTTTGCGAGTCCTATTGTATTCGCTTCCAGCCGGAATACGCCGACGAGCATCGGTAGGTTCCAGGGACTGCGAAGAGATCCAATGTCTAAGTTGGCTATTAGATTTACCACTTGAGGTTTTACCTGCTGCTGGTTAGGTCTGGTGAACAAGAGACCAGTGACCTTTAACTGTATTCAGGGTGCGCTTGCTCCACCCGAATGCCAGCGTAGTTTGATACGCATTCAGAACACCTGGCTTCGCCAGTTGTCTGGTATTTATTCGCTCACAGGGTCATCCAGGTGTCAGCCAAAACGTATCTGCAGATCTGCACATGCAAGTACATGGTCAGTGTCCAAATACGTGCTCCAACTAGAGTGACAGTTTTGGACGCAGCTTCTTCAGCAGCAATTGACCATAAGGTGGTCCATCTGCGTCCATGGCTGGTCCGAGGCTGGTGACCGCCTGGCGGGTGCTGTGTCGGAAGTTAGTACTCTCAAGAAATAGATGAGTATCATCACACAAATGAAGTATTCGCTTATCGTTAATGTTACGTCAGCCTACACCATGTTGGACGCCCAGATGTCGTTCTTCAGTGGACAATATTCCAACTTGAGGTTTCAGCTCCTCAGCCATCACTATGACGAAGGAGCTCGTTCAGTTTGATGATGATAGTCTTCTTTTACCGAGTCATCACTATAGTTTGTGGGGACGTAGTTAGTGATGAGAAATAGAACCTATTAGCCCCGCGTGGCTTCCAGGCCTTGAACCAGCCAAGAGGTCGGACCGCACACATCCGGCTACTGATTGGGATCCAAGCAATCAGAGTAGCTACAGCCAGCCGACTCGGGGCAATACCAACACTGCCTTGATCGGCACTCGAATCTGCATCGTCTCCATATAGGTGGAATGGTAAAAACTGCTACTGCCACCGGAAGGGGATCGTAAAGCGAGCACAGAGATCGAGGCTTGCAGGCGAGTTTCCGATAAGCAGCAGATATCAAGTGACAGGGTCTCTAATGCTCGGGTAAGTGCAACCTGTCCACCGAACTGCATTAACTTGCGTACCATGCGGCATGCCAATCTGAGGGAGGAGCGACGGCTCCAAATAGAGGCCGATGAATTAGGATTGTCTGCTTGATTGGACATGGGTTAGTTGACAATGCGGGAATGACGCTCCACGTTTGCCTGTAAGTTAAAAGTATTAGGTAAACACCTATCAAAGCAAGGTGTAGAAGGGGAAAGAGTTTCAGGTTGAAAACGGGGGATAAAAGTGAAGTTGGAACGGGACAATAAGGGTGAAAAAGCCTAAGAGAAGGAAAAGAAAACGGGAAGGCCTGAGTAGTAGCATCTAAATCCCTATCCACCCTGCTTGCTGCAACAGATAGGGCGCCCTTAATAAGTCTTCGCGACGGCCAAAGCATCAAGAATTGCTTTGAAGGAAAAGTCTTTGTATTACGTGGGCAGAATACTTTCAGGTTGTCCATGACTAAAACGATCAGGGTTCTTAATCAAAACCATTGGTTTAAAAACATGACCGCAAGGCAGCGGGGTTTTGGCACTGGGCTATAAAGAATGCGTTTTATAACGTAAGTTGCCACCTTCACTCTAGCCCCAAAACTGGAGCACCAAAAGACTGAGTTAGTCTTGCCTTTAGGCATTAACCATCGCGATGAGGCTACACCTTAACGTGGTGCGATTGTTTGTGTGACCCAGTGATCCATTCAGCTATGCTGGGTGGTAGTTTTTGCACCTTCAGAGCCACTTGTACCAGATTGGTCAATGGTTAGAGGCCAGACAAACTCAGGCTCCTGGCCCTCCAGGTTCGCGGTTAAAGTGAGGGTGGCTCTTTACTCCATAAAACTGGCTATGTACAGTCCAGTGCCAAAACCCCGTTGCATTGCGGTCAGGTTTTTGTACCAAAGGTTATGGTTGAGAACCCTAATCCCTCTCCTGTCTAGGCCTGGACAACGTGGCAGTGTCTTGCCCACGCAATACAACATGATCTTTCCTTCTAACGATCTCTTGATGCTCTGGCCACCTCAGAGGATAGTCAACGGTGCTCTATCTGCTGCATCGAGCAGGGTGAATATGGGTTTGGATGCTACTGCTCAGGCCTTCCCGCTTTCTTATCCCTCTTCTTGCGCTTTTTCACTTGTATCGTCCCGTTTCAAAGTTAACTTTATCTTCCTCGTTTTAACTCCTCAATTTTTGGCCCTCCTAGACATTGCTTGAATAGTCGCTTGTCCTCTAGTTTCAACTCACACACAATCGCAGGGCGCCGCTCCAATCCAGTCGACAAGTCCATGTTCAACCAAGCGGACAATGCCAGTTCCTTCGTTTTCATTTGGAGTCCCCGACCATCGCTAAGACTAGCATGCCTAAACATGCGCACTTTGCTACAGATAGCCAACAGGCAGCACTTGACCGAACACTCGAGACTCACCCGATCGATATTTGCTGTTTATCGGAAACCGGCCTGCAAGATTCGAGATCCGTGCTTACTCTGAGACCCCCCACATGCAGCACTTGCGGCAGATTCCCATTACGCCTGCCTGGCGATGACGCAGTTTCAAATGCAGGTCAAGCTGGCGTCGGCATTATGAGTCCCTGGGCTGAAGCTGTCCTGATAGACTGGATCCCTTTTGACAGCCGGATGTGCACCGTTAGGTTGACTGGCTCTTTCCAGGCTTCGACGTCGCGCGGGGACAAACGGTGCCTGTTTGTCATTGCGACTTACTCCCACACAAACTGTAGCACTGATTCGGTGAAAGATGATTTCTGTCACCAGCTTAACGATCTTCTTCGTTACATAAGAAGCACGAATACTGCTTGCTGGTGATCTAAACGCCCCAGTCGAATAATTGTCCTCTGATGAGCTTCGTCTGGGCGATCAACATGGTGTAGGCTCTCGTAATGATAACGGTGAGCGGTTGCTACACCTGTGTGAAGGTGCTTGTCTCTTTCTCGCGAGCACTAACTTTCGACATAGCACCCTCAGAATTGGCGTCCACCAGCTTCTTGCCAGCCACGGAGGCAAATCGATCACACCGCTATTAGTAACTGCTGGAGTGGCTGTTCAAAACTGTCGCTCTAGTTGGAACACCAGCGCGGATTCAGATTACGCTCTTGTGTATGCTGATCTGCGGGTGCTTTCCGGCCGATGTCCACGTCTCTCTGAACGCATTGACACCTGTCAGCTGGCGAATCCAGGTGTTCTGAATGCGTATCAAACTACCCTGACATCTGGGCTGAGTAGACGTCCGCTGAACACCATCGGAGATCAATGGACGCATAGACGTCAAACGTTACTATCAGTGGGCATGTCTTTATGTGGCGATGCAAATTGCCAATCTAGACATTGGACCTCTTCGCAGTCCCTGGAACCTACCGATGCTCGTCGGCGTATTCCGGCTGGAAGCGAATACAATAGGACTCGCAAAATTCTCAGGGCGAAGCTGCGTGCATGGCTGAAGAGAGACCGCGAAGCCTGATAGTTTCATCAAGCATCGAGAATGGAAACAGCCGCTGCCGTTGGTAATCATCAAAAGTTATTCCGTCTGATAGGGGAAATAGGCGGCAGGATACGTAGTGTCAACGGGACGATGCGCGACGAGAGTGGACAGCCGATCCGCAACCTGTCTAAACGCTTGGAGCTTTGGACCGAACATTTTGCAAGGCAGTTTAACCAATCTGAGTTATCGTTTTCGCTTTCGGACATTGCGTACCCTTCTCCATGGGCCGCCTTCTTAGATCCGTCCTCACGCGCAGAAGTCGGAGGTGAGATCAGAATGTTGCAATTGCATAAGGCCGCAGAGGCAGATAGAATTCCCCCAGCCCTCTTCAAATTCGGCGGCTCTGTTCTTGCGGACGATTTACACGAGGTACTAATGAAACTTTGGGAGCAGAAAACTGTCTCAACAGATTGGAGCCGCTCTTTTATAGTCCTATTTTTTAAGGGTGGCTCCCGTACGGAATACGGCAACCATAGAGGGATCAGGCTGATCTCCTTTGCCTCTAAATTATGTGCTTTTGTCATCATTCACACACTGACTGGCACTCGTGGACGCCAGATTCTTGAGAAAAGAGCCAGGTTCCGTCGAGCTCAAGGCTACATCGATCACATATTAACTTTTCATCAATTGCTGGAGCCCCGTCACATATATTGACGGCCCACAGTTGTCGTGTTCCCTGACATATAAGTTGTCTTTTATTCGGTTGACAGATGTGTTTTTTGACACTGTCTACTCAGGATAGGTTTGCCCGAAACACGTAAATATTGTGAAAACGGATTCGCGCCTACCTCAGGCAAAGTGAGGGCTTACGGCAAGTTGTCGCTGGTCTACAATATCTCCAGCAGTTAGATATCAGTCATGGTAGTCCGCTCTCGTCTCCCATGTGTCAGTGGCATAAGTCGCTAACTCGCAAGTGTAACATCGTGGGTTTGAATGCA